GGGCTGGGAGCAGCACTATGTGTAGAAGATGATCTCTGGGATTTGTCCATCCTCCACGGAGGTGCCGTTGTTGTTCCCAGCCGCGTAGCAGAACGTGAAGCAGGTTTTGGCTCCCGTCGTGGGGGACTCGTGGATCACCTTGCGCAGTCCTTTGGTTCCATAGTGGGAATCTGGACCCTGCGGGGGCCACGGGAGACAAGAACAGGTCAGGGCCCTGCCCAGGCTCTCAGGGGGGTTTGGCCCTCACAGCCTGGCCTGAAGCAACGAGCTTTGGAGGCCTCAGTTCCTCCCTCCTCCTCCTCCTTCCCCTCCTCCTCCTCCTCCTGGAGTTGCACCTCAGGTGCTCTGAGCTCTGCCCTCCTCTCTGTCAGAACTTACCACTCATTTAACCAGATCTCAACAGCTAAACATGAACCTTTTGAGGCCACTGCAGCAGGCCCTGAATTACACACCCCCAGAACTGGCACCAAAAAATACCCCCATCCCCTGCTCAGTGCTGGGAGACCAGTCCAGCAGCGGCTGGGAGTGATGGAGCAGCACCAGGTGAGGGATCACACCGACCCCTGGGGCTGCCCCACGGGTCCCAAAGAGGGCAGAGCAAGGCCTGTGGGGCACTGAAGGCCCCGAGCAGCCCCCCCAGCCCATGGGGTACCTTGAGAGTAGCACAGGCCGTGTAGTTGACGTTGGGCAGGATCTCCACGGGCTCCTTGAACATGACGCGGAAGGTGTTGGAGGAGCCGTCGCAGCTGAAGCCGGTGTCGTTCTGCCCCAGGACTGTGTTACTGTCCGTGTGGATGATCTGCAGCACACGTGGCAGCCCCTCAGTGCACGGCCCTGCCCCGCCCTGCCCCTGCACAGGGCTGTCCCTGCCCTGGGCTGAGCCCCAGGGACTCCCACCTGGACCAGCCCCATCTGACTGCATCCATCTCGATGTCCCTGCTGGTGCTGTGACCATGGAATGGTTGGGGTTGGAAGGGACCTTAAAGCCCACCCAGTGCCACCCCCTGCCATGGGCAGGGACACTTTCCACTAGCCCAGGGTGCTCCAAGCCCCGTCCAACCTGGCCTTGGACACTTCCAGGGCTGGGGCAGCCACAGCTGCTCTGGCACCTCTGATCTCACTGGACTTGGGTCCCAGACACCCCCTCCTCACCCCCCTGGCTGCAGGACAGCACACTGTGCTTGGATCCTTCTCTCCCAGGAGCTCAGGGCACCAGGTTGAGCCCCTGGCACTGCTGGCAGACTGTGCTGTGCCAGGGTGGCTCCCCTGGGGACAGCCCTTCTGCAGAGGGTGACACCTGAACCCAGAGAGCCCCCTGAGCCACCCCACTCTCTGCACAGGGTCACGATGGACTTGAGACAACTGAGTGTCCCCCAGCCCAGCCCATCACCCCACAGGGCCCTGGTGACGTGGGGCTGCACAGGGGCCCTGCCCAGGCCCAGCACAGCAATTCCCCTGTGCTCTTCCCTTGTGGAATCGTGGCTGCTCCACTGGGTTTGTGCAGCTTGGCACCAACCATTCCTGCAGCAGCCACCTACAGCGGGCTCAGCCCGGCCTGCCCTGGGCTGGAAATCACGCACAGCCCCTCCCCAAAGTGCCCCCCAACTCCCTGAGATGTATTCCCAAGGCTGGGAGCAGACCCGGGGAGATGCTGCAGTGACGCGTGGAACGGGAGCTGCGTAAAATCGAGCACCATAATCCCTCTGATCCCAGTGCCCCATCTGGCCCCGGCTGCATCTGCCAACCCCCTGCCCAGGGACACACACCACAGTCACCAAAACACCAAAAGGGGCTTGCCAGCCCCTCCAGCAGGCAGGATTTTTAAGGCAGTGAAGAGAATTACCTGTATGTTCACCTGGTAATCCGTTGGCCCGTGTATGGATCCGTATAATCCAAACCCAACTACAAATATCCTTTTGTTTACTGAGAACCTGCAGGAACAGAGCAGGGAGGTCAGCCCGAACTTGCCACTCCTGGAACTGCTTCAGTGCAAGGCTGACACACCAACATCTGCACTTGTGTTGATTTTATGGTTTAATCAAACCCACCATGGATTTAATGCAACTCTTCCTAAGGGCTGAAACCCTCCAGAGAAAAGAAACCACCAGCTGTCAGCTCACACTGACCCCTGACTGCCAAGCTGCCAACAGCATTTCTTCACCCATCCACCAACTCCTTCAGCCCTGGGTGTTCCCAGAACAAACACCCAGGCCAGGCTGGAGCCTCTGGCTCTGCAGCCAGCATGGAATATTGTGCTGGAGCTGACCCTGATGCTGCAGAGGCTGAACCTGAAGTCAAACACAGGCTCCTAAAGGTCTCTGAGCGTTAGATCTGAGAGCAGGAAGCGTCTGGAGCTGGCAGCAGTTCCCAGTCCCATCTCCTGTCAGGGGGTGAAGGGAGCAGAGGATCCAACCAACAGCTCCAGTGATGTGCAACAGAACCAGTGATGAAAAGGCTTAAAAACTGTAAAGAATTACACTGCTGGGAGGCCCCTTCCACCCAAGACAAAGATGGATCAGGAAAGAACCAAGGCTTCCTGAACCCTTCCTGTCTTGCTGTCATTCCCTGGCCACACAAAAAGCACCCTGTGCCAGTCCCAGCTGCCAGGCCCTGTTCCCATGACTGGGTCAGGCCTGAACAAACTGGGCATCCCAGGAAGCACAGCAGTGTTTTATCCCAACCCCTCCCTCACACAGGGGAGGTTTAGGGGGCTGCAAGAAGCCACCCTGACACTTCTAACAGAGCAGGGATGGCTCCCTGTCCCCCCCAGGCACAGGGGGAAGCCTGGTGACCCCATAGGTGTCCCTACAGCTACAGGAAGCCACCAGGGGGTTATTTCTGTCCTTTTCCAGAGGCTGCAGGGCCCCCTTTGCGGGCAACCTTCGCCAACAGAGATACAAAGTGGCACCAACAAAGAGGCAGGGGATGCTTTTACCCAGCCAAACCCTTTCCCTGCGGGGTTCCCAGGGTGGGAGTCGGGGTCCCCCCAGGGGGTGAGGGCTCAGAACACGACTCTGAGGGTGCTGACCTGATCCTGTCACTAGTCCCACTGTACCCCCAGCGGCTCTCGACCTGCTGGAAGCGGCTGATGCTGCACTCCTTGCCCCGCAGGCAGCACCGTGGCCGGTCGATGAACTCCACCCGCGGCTTGGGGTTCACGGTGAAGTGCAGGAACAGGCTCACCACCTCCCGGTCCGTCAGGATCCCCGACTGCGCCGGCCCTGCCGCGGGGAGGGAAGCAGAGATGCCGTCAGCCCCGAGGAACCACGGAATCCTGGGGTATCCTGAGCTGGGAGGGACCCACAGGGATCATCCAGTCCAACCCCTGGCCCTGCCCAGCACACCCCAACAATCCCCCCCTGTCCCTCAGAGCGTTGTCCAAACGCTCCTGGAGCTCTGGCAGCCTTGGGGCCGTGCCCACTGCCCTGGGGAGCCTGGGCAGTGCCCACCACCCTCTGGGGGAAGAACCTTTCCCTGAGATCCATCCCAACCCCCCTGGCACAGCT